ACTAAACGTTACTCAACTATTATGTGTTATGCAGAGCCTTTTTATGTGATCGTTCTAACTTGTTTAGAAGAACTGGGTTATCTAGGTTTGAATAATTGAGAAGAAATTCTGCAAAATGGCAGCTTCAGAGGGAAAATAACACTTGTTTCAAAGGATCGACTGATCATTTAAACCAGGGGTCCCCAAACTTTTTTCCTGTGAGGGCAACATAACTTTCCCCTTCTCTGATGGGGGGCCAGGGTCAGTTTGTAACAGAAAAATTTTGACGATTGCAAGAGTGCCTAAATTTATGACGGGATTTATGTCTTTATGACTGGACTCATAGTGTCTCCGCAGGTTATATTCTTTAAATACTGCCACCGCCTCTTGATAGATGACAGTCTTTTCTTTGCATTGAACAAAAAAATAATTGTCCAATTCAGGTTAAATGCCTTGCATTCTGAATCAATTTTTCTCTTGCCATAATTCCGTTCTCTCTTTACGGAAGAGGATTAGGGCCATTCAAAATAAAAGACTATTCAATTCTAACTTTTTCTTTAGAATTCTGAGATTAAAATCAGAATTCTGTGAAAGTCAGAATTGAATAGATAATTTTTTTGAATGGCCCTAATCCTCTTTCGTATCTCTTTGAGATGGGCGGGTTTAAGATTTTTTGCTGGGGGTTGCCAGATAGGGGCAAAGAAACCAAAAGGGTGGAACATTGTCACATTAAATGTGTGTATGAAATAGTTACTAATAGTTAATAAGAAAACTTCATAATTAATGAATATTTTATTGCAAATGTCCAACTTTATTGTCAAATACAAAAAAAAAATTAAAAAATACACTTATACGAAAATACTCTCTGGTATTGTTCAGGGGGCCGGACCAAATGTTGAGGCGGGTGGGCCGTAGCTTGGGGACCACTGATTTAAACCAACAAACTTTACTAAAATTTCATGGCAGTAGGATTGTCCCTGATAGTTAACATGCATGGACACAGATGATGGCTTGATTGTTTTCTTTTCCTGTAGTTCAACTCTGCTTGGTGTGTGGAGGCTCTTTTTAAAGTCTATCTAGTGATTATTCCCCAAACTTGTGAATTGGTTTAGATAGCTTGCTTGATACAGTTTAATTTCCTAATGTATATATTAGAGGACAGTTGTTGAGTCTTTTGTAGCTTTGTCTACCGTACCCTGCCAGCTTTTCTATAATTTAAAAACTTAACCATGTTACTGTGACTGGAAAACTTAATTCTACAATTTTTATGATTATTTTGTGGACAATGTTCATTGTTTCCAATAGATCTTATATTTGTTTCACACAATATGGTTTATCCTGATGAAGAGTGGGCTTAAAAAAGGGCTAATCAAATCTACCAGTAAATGTTTTACTATCAAATACATTGACTGCTGAAATTTCCACATCTCATCCTTCGGCTGCTGATTTTACTGTCCTTTATTTTAAAATGACAGGTTAGATTAACTAGTTTTACATTATGCAATTTTTTTTAACTGCACAGTATTTGTATTCTCTATCTATTCTCTATCTGTATTTTCTGCCCTTATTGTGCAGCAGTGTTTAGTTTTTATTCTGTTCTTTATGCATTTAGGTATATAAAGAACAGATTAAAGAAGTTTTTACATAAAATGCAAATTTGCTGCTGTTGCACCAAAATGTCCTAGAATATAAATAACTTTCTATTCCTCTGTAAAAATAAGCTGATCTGCTTAAGCAGTAGAGGTTTCTGGGAGTGTGCAAGCATTCATACTGTTAATTGCACTGTAGTTGTATTTCATTACTTGTGAATTTTTCTGACTGTGCTTTGGATTCAGGAAGAACGTGACTTATTCCGACCAGCTGCATTTCATACATGCTTTCTGCATATATCAAATGCAGAAAGCTGTGTTTGATATACCTTGAGTTATTTAACACCAATACCTCTGAAGGGTTTTAAAATATATATTTTCAACTTTTTTGTTGCTGTATTTTATAAACAAATGGCATCTGACTTTTGAGTGGATTCAGACCTTCTGTGTTTAGGTCTGCACCCTGCAGTAAGGATGCCTTAAAGCAGCATACAGTATTAAAGAGGTGGTTTTTCTTTAGCACTTAAGATCAATTGCCTAAACAACGTTTGGGAAATGATGTTACAGCTGCTCTATGGACAGGATTTTTTTCAGCAGCCTTGGTGCATATAGGTTACATAACACACATTGATAATTTTTCACTCTGGATCTATTTAAACATTTTGTTTAAGGTGTAGCTAGATCATCATCCTTCAGTTGCCAGCACTGAGGTAGTAGAGAATCTTGGTGTCCAATAGTTTCTTGGTTGAAGATTTCTTCCCATCACTAGCTCCCAGATTCCCTGTGGTAGCCTGTACTGTACTGGCTGGTGGGTAGTGTCCGTCCCCACCCACCTTGGATGTTAGCTCAGATGTGGGCTTTAAAGCAGTGATAAAGGCTTTGTAGCTAAGCCACTGCTTCCCTGCCTGCTCAGTCTTCCAGGAGTAAATAGATATACAAATAATTAATTTGAAGAGGTGTTTTTATTCAGTTGGCTTCTCATTTCTAGTGGATAATTCGACTTAAAATTTTGAAGGCAAACTAAGTTTTGATATAATCCATCTGCTAAAAAAATCCTCCATATGTTTATCCTTATTTACATGCAGATAATTTATATTTTAGACCTCAGTTACTGCAGTTGTCTTTAAATATATTAGGCTTATTGCAGTGAAAAGTTGTAAAGCACTGCCACATGTATTAAAGGTGTATAACATAATCTAACAAACACCATTTACCCTTAGATTCTTAGAACCACTGGAAACCAAAATAAATCCTGGTTTCTAGAGACATTTTTATGAATTATCCCACAGAGCTGGACCATTTAGGATCAGATTCCTGAAACTTATAATTGCCTCCATACTCACAGCCCAACATTTTTCTTCTAACCCCATTATCTGCTCATAATTATATTTTCAATAACTTGGATTGATGGTCTGTTGGGTGCAACGTTATTAAGATCATTCTCAGATTGAGTTGGCTTTTGCTTTGCCAAAAATATCACTATGGTCTTAGAATACTTGCACGTTATTTTCCACCATGTTCATACACTTTTTATATTCATAAACTTTAACAGCCACATTTCTATTTAAGGTTTTCATACATTATTTTTGTTGGTTAGCAGTAAATAATGGGTGCTTTGGATTCTTCATCTTCAGACAAACTGCAGATTGTAAAGAGTTTTAATAAAGTACAAGCTTCTTTGACCTTTTATTTTTGAAATAATAGAAACTGTGTGGAGAATTCTGGTTCCTTGATTAGATTTTTCTTCTAAAAGAAGCTGGGATATTTATCTTTACTCAGATATTGGAGGGTTCCCTTATTTTTTCCATACACAGCTGGTATTGCACCATGACAGAGGTGGCTGATTCATCACCAATATCAAATGTTTTGATTTTACTGTTGATCCAGGAACAATAAATATTTGGGAGTTGGGCTGCAGAAAATAAACCTGCTAGAAAGTGGAGGGTTGAGTCTTCAAGAGCAAAAAAGTTGAGGGTCAAAGTCTTTTAAGAAAGGCATTTAGTGATAGTGTTAAATTCACTTCCTGTTTGAATTGCAGACAAATTTCTGCAAAATGTCAGCAAGCAAAAGCACCCGAAGGAGGCAAATGTTTTTGTTTTTTCCACTTGCTGGTTTTGTGTTTGGTGTAAAAGCGCCTTAAGAATTTTGAAAGCCGTGCATAAACCATATGATTTAACTAGAAATTAGAATTTTTAAAGCAAACTGAGGCTGTGATGCGTTTTCTAGGAAAAAAAAATGACATAAAATCACTGCAAAGACACAAACAGAGCTTAATTAGGGACTCTGATGCAGATCATTTGGATCTGCCCAGCATTTCCCTAGCAGAAGGTTGGTCACATAGCACAATGTCTGAAGGTTTATTAGAACATTTTATTTAACATTAAAAAAACATTTTAAACTTGCAGTGCTTTGGGAAAAGCCAGACAAAGCATTGTTCTATATTTTAAAGAAACTAAGGTATTAACTTTACTTATTTTCACCAGTATAATGGGTTCTTCAGGGGTTTTAACAGCCCATTTAAATCACTTAAACCTTCCTGCAAACAGCCAGCGAGGAAAATCTATCATTATCTTTTCAAACGCCAGTCAAACTAAGCTGTAGGTTTTGTAGCAGGGAGGTACGCTCTTGTCTAATTTATCAGGGAGTATTTATTTGTATCCTGCTTCAACAAGCACCTAATTCTCAAAGGATTGTGGAAATCCCTCAGGGATGAGCGTGCTTCAGGTTTCACTCAGGATGTTTTGTCAACTTATGTCTAAGAAACAGAAACAGCTTCTTTATTCAGGGAATCTTTAGGGAATCTTTTTCTCTGTTCTGTCCTCCAAAGTGCAACAACTACTAAGAAAACTTTTTTGTAAAACAGGGTTAGGAATTAGTTCTGAGTTCCTCACAACCTCAAAAGGCTTTGTTTTAAGTATTTCTTTGTACATTTAAATTTTCCAACTGTAGACTTATTCCTGTGTGCTTCTTGATAGTACAGTAGCTCTGGTTTTAACTAACTCCTCTCCAGCATTAAGCCTTATTGCAACATCTAGTTTTTTTTCCAAGGAAAAAACATCCTCAGATCATGGTCCTGCTGCCATCACTGTGACCTGTAAAGAATGATTAGGGTTTCCCAAGATTTTCTTGCTCATGTTGTCTTGGATATACATCTAGAAATCCTACAAAGGTCTTCCTTAAATATGCTCAAACTACATTTTGCAGTAAACCTTTCTATGCCAAATTTAAACAGGTCTTTGTTTCTACTGAAATTCTTTTTAACAAGTTCTTTCCCTTCTAAAATGGATAAATACAAACACAACCTCCTTGCTCTTGTGTACCTATAGATAATCAGTATGCAGGTGTTTTGTTTTACTTTGTCTTCTTTGGGTGCGTTAGCTAAATAAACGCTTTAAATACTAAAAAGCTGCTTTATCAAATATTTTTTTCTAGGTGACTCCATCCTCAAAGATCGTGGGAGATCTGGCTCAGTTCATGGTGCAGAACAACCTGACCAGGGCAGAGGTGGAGGAAAGAGCTGATGAGCTGTCCTTCCCGCAGTCTGTGGTCGAGTTCCTGCAGGGATACATCGGCATACCTCATGGTGGTTTCCCTGAGCCCTTCAGATCCAAGGTACAGTGAATGTGTTCATTCATATTTCACTCCATTTAACGTGGTTCTTCCGAAGTTATCATTTCATCCCCTACTATCAGGTGAATGAAAAGACGCATTCTGATTCAGGACATGTTTTACAACAAAGTCATTGAGTGATTTACTCATAGTCTACAATTAAATATTAATCATAAAATAGCCTTAAAAAGTTAAAGTGTTTAAAAAGTAAAACTTGTATAACGTTTAATTATAGCTAAGATACGTTTAGATCAGTCTTTTGATTTTCATTGTCTCACTACTAATAAAAGCCCCAAAATAAATGGGTTTTGTTGGAACAATCAAATAAGTTTATACAGAATTACCATAAATATCACAAAGTTCGGCTGGTGCCCTGCCTGATGTTTGTACATCTTAACCCCTAGAACCCTACGGACCCACCGGTGGGTCCAGCTGCTACGTGACCTCGTAATTTTAACAAACCCCCAGTATTGATGTAAAAAACACATTTGGCACAGTTTGGTGACATTTTTGGATAAATGTGCCAAAATGGCCTCTACGCCTAAGAAATTTCTCACTAATACCATTCTAAAATAAATATGATTCATCTGATTGAGTCCAAATTTGGTATATTTTGTATTTTGTCCCTAATATTTCAGGCAGGGTCAAAGCTACAATGGTGCTGACACCAGAAAACCATTCTATGACATCTTACCTTTACAGACGTACCAAAAGTTTCTTCTTAAATCTAATAGCTGTGAGGCTATAAGTGATTTACTTTTGTGTGTTTTTGTCAGGCAGAAAGTTATTTATATCCCCTGAGGGTGTAAGAGGTTAACACGTTTTCCTTCCACAAAATTTTTCACTATGCTTGAAAATTGCCTGCTCTAAAGAACGACTAAAGCCTATATTTGATTAAAATACTCATAGTTATAACCCAATATTCACAGCACAGTGGTACTGAATAGTGGGTACAGAAGAGTAGTTTATGGTTTGATGACTACTGTATGGTTCCAGCAGTCAAGTCCACATACTGATTTTATAATCACTTCTTTTATGCAGCACAAATCTAACTGAAAACAACCTGAATGTTGATCTAGTTAAATGATTTTTAGCCTAATGTTTTAGAAATGTCAATCAAATTGTACCCATTAAAACCCTAAACACAAACCCTCCCAGATCTCCCTACATCTGGCAGATGTTTAGACGACATTAAAGATGGAGACAAATCTCTGCTTTTGTTGTCCTCTTTTCCTTTCATAATCCTGTCTCTTCCTCTATCTTTGAGTCTACTCAAAGCCAGGTAGAGACTCGTGCTGCACATCAGTGGCCATCAGCCAGAAGTCTTTTTGGCAGACTTGTATAATCTGAACACATGAAAAAAGAGAAATGTGTCACGCTGCTCTAAACTCCGTCCAACAGATCTGAGAAAATGTGACATTTAGAGGAAGGAACAGTTTTTATAGGAAGAAAATCTGTTGATATCCCCACTTACATACACACTAAGCTGTATGTAAAATATGAAATATCTGCTGAAAGACAATACCTGCTCTTTTTAAATGTCACCAGTTTCTTTCCCACTGCCAATGAGCACTTGCATCTCCACAGAAACTGACAGACTTTAATAACCAGAACTGTCAGCTTCATGTTTGTTTTTTCTTTGATTCATTGCTAAATTGCTGCATTATGGACTTTTCTGTCTATTTATTGTTAGTCATACATTTAATTGCTCTCTTTGTCTTTGCCTTTGTAAAACTAACTCCTGTCATCAGCTAGCCTTGGCATTTATTCATCCAGTTCTTTACTCTCGTCGATAAAAGGTTGAAATGTGGGTCATTTACAAAAGGTTTTATCCAGTTCATTTATACAGTTCCAGTCGGAGGTTTATAAACTAACATCAGCATAAGAGTCATGTTCGCTTTTTGCTTTTAATGTATTATTCAAGCAACTCTTTTTACATGGCAGAAATAATTTACAACAAGCTACTTGAATAAATTCTATAAATAAAGGGTGAGCAAATCCAGATCTTTTTTAATATTCACTTTTCAAACTCATTCAATTCCAAGCCGAAGTCTGTCTCCTTTAACAGATCACAACTACAGTAAATGGCTAATTTTTTGTCACCATGAAAAACCAACATATATTCAACCATTCCTACTGGGAGGGGGAAAAAAGTAATCATATAAATTTACAGTAGTGTTTTATTTGAGGACATACCAGAATATTTGTTTTTTTCCAATCTCCAAAATTCATTAAAATATAATGCAACAGAAAAATGCTGCAATTTCAGACCAGATTATAGCAGTGTGTTTAAAATAGACATGAACTTTCCCTCCCACTTACTTCTAGGCATACTGTTAGTCTTTGCCAAGGGTCCGGTCCAGTCAGATTTGTTAATTGATCTCCCTTAGTTCGCTAGTGTGTTTTAATTTTATGAACAGAGTTTGCTGTTTTTTGGTACAGTACAGTAAATGCAGCGGTTTCTATTTTCTTCCTTTTTTTGTGATAGTAGCAGTTGACTGAATTTATTTTGGAGTTTGCATCAAACTTGTGCTTGCAGTGTGTTTGCACCCGTTTTTTTTTTTTTTTTGCCAGGGTTTTATTGTCAAACTGTCACAAGTACAGAGCAACGAAATTAACTCTCTGCATTTAACTAATCACCTTGGGGAGCAGTGCGCTGCCATTGTGCGGCGCCCAAGGAGCAGTGTGGGGGTAAAGGGTCTTTGCTCAGTGGCAGTCTGTGGGAGTGGGGCTTGAACTCAGAACCTCTGGATTCCCCAACCCTCACTCCCCCAAAGTTGGCATCAGCATTACCCAGACTTCCTGTTTGCAGAGCAGGTGACTTACCATTTGAGCTAGCCAGCCGCTTAAAAACGCTGTTGCCAACCGTATAATTACCATTCTAAAACCATTTTCGATATGCATTTGAGATAACTTTCCCTTTGCAAATCTATAACTGTTCTCAGGTTTTAAATGTCAACTGCATAATTTGAGAGGAAGTTGGACAACTTGGAGGTAATCGTCCTCTATCTTTTCATCCACTAATCCCTGGTAAAATTAACCACACAGCATCTTTAATACTAAGGTTTTAAAACCTCACCGATCTATCCAAGCATTCATCTTCCAATCGTCTTCAAATGGTTCAAACTTTCCTCCTTTTAAGCTGAAACTTTTTCCTGAAAGGCCTTGGGTATGTTTATATAGCCAGAGATCTTTAAAAAGAGACTTTTAATTTCATTTACCTTTAAAGAATAAAATCTGGACAGCTACAGAGTTCAGTTGACCTTAACAGCAGTATTTTGAAGCTTAAATTAAAATTTCAGGAGTTTAAATCACTGTATGGTGGAGTTATCATAGCCATGTTAGTTCGAGGAAATTAAAGCATTGTGGGCATGGAGGAATACATCTCCAAATCTTCCACAATTGCTTACAATCAACAATGCAAACACATTTAAATGCATGAACTTTCTTGTATATGAAGTTTTCTTAAATAACAAATTTTTGATGTTAATGACTGGTATATTTTGATATTGTAAAATATGCCTTTGATATTTGAAACCTACATACCTGAGATTATTTTTTTGAATTCTTTTGAAGGTTTACTTCTCCCGGGCCTCCTTATACTGTTATGTTTATAATTGCTTCATGGAAGCTGATGCAGTGCCTCTCCCTGCTAGAGGCTAACTGCTTGCAGCTGAATCTCTTAATATTCAGGGGTTCACATGCTGTTACCATTAATGCACTTATCATTTTTAAAATTTCATACTTTTTTCCCAGTTTCCTCTGTGCATTTTACCCTGTCATGCAGCTTGATTTATTGTTAACACATTAATGTTCTGTTCTAAGTAAATCTTAAACTATAAGGTAAACAAACGTTTCAATATCACTTAGTTTCCTTAAAGTGCAAGTTATCCCCCTGATGTGTTTAAATGATTACCTTACCTTAAATCAGTTTGTTTTTTCTTTAGTTTCACTTGTTTTCAATTTAAGGAAAGGAGCAGCTTGTTTCAGATTAATCGGATTGTGACTGCTCATCTTTTGGTGCATTGGTTGTGACTGATTTACATACCTTTTAATTTGAGGTTCATTTGTTAACACAGACCCGTCCCCACACGCTACTGTTGTCTGTTCATGTCCCACACTTGAACAATCAGCGAGTTTCGGCAGAAGACGTCCTCAGAGGAGACGACGTTAACGAGCAGGGACTCCAGTGAGCCTGCCATCTTTGAAGTGTCTCTCTCGAACACAAATGACTCAGCTATCTTTGAACTGCTCGCCCTGTGACTAATGGTGTTGCGCCGACTCCTTTGTCTGCACATTTCCACAAGGCGCGAACACAAACACACACGCGCCTGATAAGATACAGCAACTATTTAATGATATTCAAACACACACTTGCTCTGTGTCAACCCAGGAGACTGCATCGTGTGAGTCTTTATCTAAACACACATGGCACTACTTACACAAAATTAACAAAAGTATGCGAGCTCGGGGCGATGATTAGCAGTGATTCTGTTTAACCAATTCAGGCCGTCTCATACAGAGAGATGCGTAGGTGTGCTATAAGCTGATTCTTGCAGGCAACACTGAGGGAGAGAGATTAATTGTATGGAGATTTGTTCCTCACTCTCGTCTCTACCTGGAAACACTCTTTAAAAACTTTAGAGACAATATTTACAACTAGATACTCTATAATTAACAGATATCAGGAAGTGAATTTATTTCAGCAATTAAAATAGAAATACAGCTTTACATGGTGATATAAGTCAAGCATAATGAGCGTAGATCAGAGAGCAGCCTTTAAATCTGCTGAGCTGTTGATATCGTTGCCTTAACAGCAGCCATCAGATTCGGCGTTTTACAGAAGAACTGAGCAACAGTCCAAATATTTATCTTTAGATAAGGCAACCTTATGATGCAGTGACTTTGCCACAAGGAAGGAGACATTATGGTGAATGACCTAAAAAGGACTCTGTCTGGTGGCTTTAACAGGACTAGTTTCAGCCATAATCTAACGTCAGCCA